TATCACTAGTTGCCATCTAATCTAAACAAGACATTAAACTCTTCAGATCATGCTAATAGTTGAGCTAGTCTCTTGTACAGCAGATCAAGTGATTGTAGAGAAGAGCAAATAATTGTATCTTTCTTTCGGCGGTGTCCAAATGCAGAGAAGAGACGGCTAATTAGTATTCTTACATGTCCAAGATTAGGAATAAAGCATACACCAATTTGCTTAAGCTAAATATACCAATGACGTTGAAACCCCTTATCTTCATTCACTTCACCTACGTTTTCTGTGAGATTTAGAAGGCTTGGACATGGACATTATGAAATCTATTAAACATATGTTGTAACTTCATAATGGAAAAAATCAAACCAAATAAATGCACATAAAAGCACGGAGGGGGGCATAGTCATATTTCTATAGGATAATATTTCACAGATTATACCACATGCCTACTAAAAATTAAGCAGAAAGGCTCAATTACAACTTCCGGACTAAAGATACAAACCTATTAGTATATTACCCAAATAGTGAGATCAACCAGACTCCCTCTCACTCATGACAAATGCCTGAATAAGACTTTGGGCTGCATGAGTTTGCTCAGGGGTTCCAGATATTATAATTTTAGTTTCCACAGCTCCGGGTTTTGGATCAGTTATAGTAATATTTGCATCAGAGATCTGTGTAGATCACATAGTAAATGTCAAAATTCGTAAGGAATTATATAATGATATCATCATAATCCCACCATCCAACAAATTATGTTCTAATTAAAATTAAGGAGTTAATATTTTCATTGTTCATTTTCACTGCTGTCATGTTGTACTGGGTTAGAGATTAGGATGCACTTCTTTAACTTGAATGTTCAATTTCTCTCATTTTAAACAATTAAAGCATTTAGTGTATCAAAAATGTAAATCATCCAAAGGACCAAGGTCGCTTAATTTTAAAATAGATGGACATAATTGCTAGAAACACCTAGAGGGGCCAAAATCACTCAGTAAAAACTAATAACAACAAAAAAGTCTTGTATCAAAAAGTGATTTCCGCTACGTGACAACACACAACAAACTTAAGGGTCCAAAAATTAAAGTTCCTTGACCACAGTAAACACAGACTTATACAATAAAGTATTGGTGCAGGTGTGGATGCATGTTTGGCCAAGCAGCTTATTTAAATTGTAAAGCACTAAAATCATCTAACAACCAAATACAACAAAAACTTATCCCACTAGGTCTAACCATCAGATAAAATCTACAAAATTAACATCCATAATTATCAGATGCAAAGGTTCACCTGAAGTATTTGTTTCAGGCATTCACCATCTTCCCCATATATTACAGGCACCAGTGCTCGAGGAACAACAACTTCAACAGTGGTACTTGTGATAATTGGTTGGCTACCCCTGCAACGGGTAAATAACCTCAGTATTGAGAGATACAGAGAATAGAAGACAAATTGAAAATTCAGAAGAAATAATAAGGAAAACAAGCATATTGACAGTGATGATGCAATAGACTAGACAAACCCTGCAAATCCTGAAATTCTTCTAGGAGGACCTCCTGGAAAGTCTGGCAAGCCAATGCGTGAGCCACCTTCAAGTACCCCCTAGAAATAAAAAAAAAAAACAACACACGTAGACATATCAGTTCATAAATGAGAAATTCTAAGACATTATGGCTTCTCAGTTCTCAGAAATCCAAGCTAAAGAGTGGAATGTCATTCCTTCTGAAGGTTCCATTTTGGGAGATACAGACCAGCTAATTTGGCCTGGACAACTGGATATTAGTCCAAAGTCTAGTGCTCTACTCTTCTATTGACTGGTATTTATCTGAACAAAGCTTATATCAGCCTCAGGCTGTAGCCTGCCAAAAGGCCCCAGAATTAAAAATAAAATTTGTGCGAGATATTGATCTACGTTGCAATTTTGTTTGTATCTCTTTAGTAATTATGCAAGTCACAACTGAAAGAAAATATTTTGTAAAATAAGCACCTTTAAACAGTTCAGAATTAAAAAGCAAACATGCCTTCAGTTGAAAAAAAATATATCAAATATATTACAATTACATACAATCATAAATATTCATTTTGATGTCAACCAAGCCTGTAAGATCATTCCTCCCACCCTCCCTTATCCATTTCAATTTTTTATTTTAACTACACCAACTTCAACATGTAGCCCAAGTGTTTGATGATAATTTAAATGATACAGTAGCGTTTAAACCAAAACTGATACAAAAAGTAACTAGTGTCCAATACCTGAGGACCCCAATGCTTCCTTTCAGATATGTGAGGAGGAATGCCTGGTCTGTGTATGTTATTCAAAAATGGAGGACGGTCATCATGAGGAAAACCCGCATAAGGTGGAGGACCAAGGTCAGAATACATCCCAGGAGGTGACAGTCCCCGTCTTCCTAAATAAGGTGGGAATGGAGGAAGTTGATCCACAAATGGAGAATTTGAAGGATAATTGACAGATGGATGTGAATCACGGAAGAAATGATGCTTTAATCTAGTAGTTATTTGCATAAGAGCATCATGCACTGCCTCAATTTCTCCGTTTACCTGTCAGAAAATATACAGGAAAAACATTAAATAGCACTAGAAGGTAAAACCAGTCTAAACTAACCAAAACTGACCACCAAGCATATGTGATGCCAATTAATGAAATTAATTACACTACCATGAAATCAAAAAGTTAATCTGACTCCTCATTTTGAAAACTAGAGGAATTCACAGTATGACCATATCCACTCTAGTTTTCCCAAATAAATCTCAAACATTCTATTCTGTAATAAAATCATGAATCCAAGGAGGAGGAGTTTGATTTAATCTTTAAACAATTACAAGATATAATTCGCACCTGAATTACTTCTTCATCTTCTGAAGCACACTTTGGAACCTTATCCTTTCCTAATATACGGATATGGGCCCCTGATTTCTTCCTCATTTCAGTTATGATGGAACCACCCTTGCCGAGGAGACAACCTATTTGATTGGAAGAAACAAGAAACCTTGCTAACATTGTATGTTCTTTGGCATCAGGCATAGGCTTGGCTATTCTAGTTTGCACACGAAATACAGCTTCTTGCACAGGGGATACTCTATCTTCTGGGTGCTGCAAATATTAATCTAACTTAAGTGAAAAACAAACATCGCTCCGTAACAATAGCCAAGATGAGAAAATGGAAACTTGAACCATACCGCTGGACCAGATATAACAATAACACAATCCTCTGAATCTGGAGGACTTTCTACAATCTTGATATCACTTACTGTCTCTTGCTGAAGTGTCTTTATGATTGTTCCACCTTTACCAATTACATTTCCTGCCCTTTCCACAGGACACAATAAACGAAAAGTAAGCATTTCCTGCATAGGTCTCGTGCGACCGTGAATGGCAGCTTCATGAAACTTGGACATCAATGGAGGGCCAGAATGAAAAATAGAAATATCATGGGCAGCACCAAAAGGTTGACCACCAAAAGAACGGCTGTGAGGTGCGAATTGTCCAGATGAATGAGAAGACCCGTTAAAATTAGCTGACAATTCATGATCCCGGGGTGGATTTTCCAATAGTTGATGAGAAACAGATTGAAGAGCTTTCCTGACAACATCTACTCCTCCTGAGATCTACATCATAGCATACATATAAAAAATACTGCCGAAACAAGTAACTCCCATGAACAGGTCTTAAAATGAGTAATCATAACAAGCAAGCACCAACATGGAAGTTATAGAACCCCTTTTCTGCACATCAGCCTCATTATGTACCACTCAAAATGCATAGATGCAGGTATCAATCAAATTAATTTCAGGGTTCAGATAGTTAACTAAATAACATTTGACAAAGCAAACATTCCAGCCAGATATTTTCTACTTCAAATAAAACTACCTATGGTACTATGATTTAATTAAATAACCCTGAACCGAAAAGGGATAATGGAACACAAACATCTACCTGAACTATCTCATCAGAAGCTGATGCACACGCTGGAAGTTTGTCTTTAGGAAGGATCCGAATATGTGCACCACTTTCAGCTGCCATTCTCTTAATCACACTACCACCCTTTCCCAGAAGGCATCCAACTTGAGTAGTAAGAATAAGTAACCTAAAAACAAGGGTAGAAGATTTATTACTTTCTTCATCCCCTTCACTCATCTCCTCTACTCCCTCAACCATTCTCTCAAAAACTAATGATATAGCCTTCCGAATGGCGGAATTCCCCTTTTCACTGGGAGAATCTTCAACGAGAACCGAACTTTTATCTTCCTTTTCTTCATTATCATCACCAGCACCATCACCACCATCCCTCTCCTCTTCATCCCCTTTCCCCTCGATTCCAGCATTATCATTGTTAACCTCCCTTACCTGCTCTGCATGAACTTCTTCCGCTTCTTTATCAGAACCTGAGATAGTGATAACCCTTTCATCACACCCAGGTATAGCTTCCTCAATCTTAACCTTCACACCACTTTCTTGGCGAATTTGTGAAATGATGGCACCACCTTTTCCAATAACACTGCCAATTCTTGAAACGGGACAGAGCAAACGGAAAACCGCAGTCCCTGGAGAAACATCCAACGACGAAAAACCACCGGAAGATTTTTGGCGTTTCCCTTTCCCGTTAGGCTCTACATTCGGCCTCTTAGAAGACGCCATTGGAACTGACACAAGTCCAAAACAATGACAACACTATTCTACATCAGTTTAATGCAATAATACAAGCATGTTTCTACAAATAACAAAGTGTTAATAACATATCCTGTGAAATCATTCAATCCTAGGTGTCTGTGAGGTTATAGAGTTAATATAAGCAAATAAAAGTCGAAGAAGAACAAGAAAAATTACAGTGTCGATCTACGTACGCCCCACACCTTCCAAAACCCCACGGAAACAAAAGAGCGACGTCGTCGATGATGAACGGCGGAGAACGACGGAAATGTGTCGCCAAAAAATTCTCCCTCTGCCTCTGCACTGTGACCTAAGCAATCAGTGAACTCGTGCAAAGTTAAAAGTGCGAACGGGCTTCTTCTAATCGTAGAGCCCAAAGTCACTAATTGGGCCCCCGCTTTTGGTTGCTAGATTTGGCCCAAGTGGTTTTTGAATTTCATTTGTTTGGTTTTGTGAGGATATAAACAAAGGGTTTATTGGTTTTATCGGAAATCAAGCATCCAATCCGGAGTATTTGTGGAAGATAAGTTTATTTAGACCAATGCTGGTACTTATTTAAAAAGTATATATTTATAATTTTAAATTACATGAAATCTTAATAAATAGGTTTACAATCTATTTAATCTTATCAAATTAACTTACAAAATAATGCTTGAATCTTATTTATACATTTTTATTTAATTTTATCATATGTAAAATATCCGCACGCGTTAAAAGAGTTATTTTCTTTTATGTTTGAATTTATTTATACTGATAATATGTGCCTTATATATATATATATATATATATATAAGGATGACACGTTATATATTCTAAATTTACTATTTATAATATAATTCTTATTACCTGACTTTTTAATACTAACTGATAATTTGAAACTGTCATTGATTTCATTTTCTTTTGTCTTTTTTTTTTTTTGTTTCTTCTCATATTTGTAGTTTACACGTTAATATTAAAATACTTCTTACTTATTTCTAATCTCTTTTCCTTACAATTTAAAAAAATTAAAATTAAATTCGGATCATGATTATAATTGAAATTATCATAAATGAAGAGTGAGGATAAAATAATATAAATATTATATTTTTTACCCTTTGAAATGATATAATAAGAATTGAGTTAAATTTAAAATTTAATCTATGATATTAAAGTGATCTAAAATTTATTTTAACAAAATTTGTTATTTGTTAAATCTATTATTTTATCATTATAAAAAAATATATTGTTTTGAATTTATCATGGTATTCGTTATAGAATCATTATTATTTAATTTGACATTCAAAATATATATCTCATTATAAAAGAAATATAAAGGAAATCTCACTTTCAATTAAAAATAAGAAAATAAAAAAATATAAATAGAAATTTTTCTTATAAGTTAATTTTAAGAGTAGCAATTTTCTTTAATAATAAAAGTGCTCATGTATAGTTTTTCCAAGAAGAGACATTGTTATGCAGGAAATGTGACCTTTCACTCCATAAAGTGGATGAACATACCCAAAAGCATAACAGGTTTCCCCTTTCCTTAAAAAAGAAAACCCAAAAGAGAAGCAAACCACTTTAAGAGTTGCTTAGAAAATTACTATACAACATTAAGGTTTATTGGGTTAAACTCTCAACCATTGTGATTCTCAACAACTTTTTTATGTTATATATTTTTCTGTCACATTAATTCCCACAATTTCTAGCATGTGCTTAACTGTCATTTATGGAATTTCTTTCATATAATTTTACAATATATATACTATCTATAAAAGACATGCAATTAAGTGCGAATGATAATATGTGCAGTTAATAAAAAAAATAACACACTCTTAAAAGGTGAGATTTCAAATCTTGAATGAGACCAGGTAGATATTTATGTGCAACCTTCTCATAGGAAGTGACAACGAATGCATCTGTTTAAGAAGTGACTTATCGAGATACGACAGGGGACATCTTTGAAACCAAAACAAAACATGATTTTGTTTCTTTCTACCTTTAATTGTTTCATTGCATTTGGCATCTCACTTCAACGTTGAAGCGTTCATAAAAGTCCTGTTCTATATATATGGTTAAAATTCATGATTAATAATGTGCCTAAGTTGCAGCTGTTGGATCAGAAATCATCAGTTTTCACAGCTGTTTCATTTCATTATTGTTCCGATTATGGATTGAAATTTTTTATTCATTACTCATTTCTTCACTTGAATAGATTTGAAGAAAGTAATTAAATGAATTTGAGAGGTTTTAAAGATAAATTTTTTATTGTTTATTTGAGTGGATTTAAGAGTGAATGAGAGTGGATTTAGAAATAAAGTTTGTGAGAATTAGTGTAGGATTTGATTGAGATTAAAAAAATTTACTTCGAAATTCACTTTCACTTACTTCCAAATTCACCCAAATAAACAATAAAAAATTTACCTTCAAATTCATTCAATCACTTTCTCCCAAATTCATTCAAGTGAACAAAGTGTAAGTATTTTGAGTTTTGGTGTTTGTTTTTATTATTGTTTGTCCCTTGGATCAAATTGAAAGGATAATTGTAGAAAGTATTTTAACGTCAAAGTCAAATATCTAGTTAATGTATAATAAATGCAATCGTTTTTTTTTAAATTTGTATTTATAAATTTCAGAATGAATTTTGAATTATTGACGGCTTAATTATGATTCAATTGATTTTATTCATGTTTTACCATAGAGTAATCTTCGCCAGTAGTGATGTTAAAGTGGATTAGAATCCGCGGCCAACCCATCCTATCACATATTTGAACCGGGTTGGGTTCAAAAAATATGTAATTTTTTTATACAAGTTAATTTTCAACCTGACCTACTTAGAACCTTGCTCACGTGGGTTCAACCCGTAGTGAGTTATGGCTCATCAACGATCTTAATTTAATTTAATTATTTATTACTTTGTATTTCAATATTATTAGTTAATATTTTTTATTGTATTATAAATGGAGATAAAAAAATATTTCAAAAGAATAAAATATTATAGATTTATTCATTTAATACTCTAATCTTATAAATGAATAAATTACATAAAATGATTAATAATAAAAACNCTTCTGGGTGCTGCAAATATTAATCTAACTTAAGTGAAAAACAAACATCGCTCCGTAACAATAGCCAAGATGAGAAAATGGAAACTTGAACCATACCGCTGGACCAGATATAACAATAACACAATCCTCTGAATCTGGAGGACTTTCTACAATCTTGATATCACTTACTGTCTCTTGCTGAAGTGTCTTTATGATTGTTCCACCTTTACCAATTACATTTCCTGCCCTTTCCACAGGACACAATAAACGAAAAGTAAGCATTTCCTGCATAGGTCTCGTGCGACCGTGAATGGCAGCTTCATGAAACTTGGACATCAATGGAGGGCCAGAATGAAAAATAGAAATATCATGGGCAGCACCAAAAGGTTGACCACCAAAAGAACGGCTGTGAGGTGCGAATTGTCCAGATGAATGAGAAGACCCGTTAAAATTAGCTGACAATTCATGATCCCGAGGTGGATTTTCCAATAGTTGATGAGAAACAGATTGAAGAGCTTTCCTGACAACATCTACTCCTCCTGAGATCTACATCATAGCATACATATAAAAAATACTGCCGAAACAAGTAACTCCCATGAACAGGTCTTAAAATGAGTAATCATAACAAGCAAGCACCAACATGGAAGTTATAGAACCCCTTTTCTGCACATCAGCCTCATTATGTACCACTCAAAATGCATAGATGCAGGTATCAATCAAATTAATTTCAGGGTTCAGATAGTTAACTAAATAACATTTGACAAAGCAAACATTCCAGCCAGATATTTTCTACTTCAAATAAAACTACCTATGGTACTATGATTTAATTAAATAACCCTGAACCGAAAAGGGATAATGGAACACAAACATCTACCTGAACTATCTCATCAGAAGCTGATGCACACGCTGGAAGTTTGTCTTTAGGAAGGATCCGAATATGTGCACCACTTTCAGCTGCCATTCTCTTAATCACACTACCACCCTTTCCCAGAAGGCATCCAACTTGAGTAGTAAGAATAAGTAACCTAAAAACAAGGGTAGAAGATTTATTACTTTCTTCATCCCCTTCACTCATCTCCTCTACTCCCTCAACCATTCTCTCAAAAACTAATGATATAGCCTTCCGAATGGCGGAATTCCCCTTTTCACTGGGAGAATCTTCAACGAGAACCGAACTTTTATCTTCCTTTTCTTCATTATCATCACCAGCACCATCACCACCATCCCTCTCCTCTTCATCCCCTTTCCCCTCGATTCCAGCATTATCATTGTTAACCTCCCTTACCTGCTCTGCATGAACTTCTTCCGCTTCTTTATCAGAACCTGAGATAGTGATAACCCTTTCATCACACCCAGGTATAGCTTCCTCAATCTTAACCTTCACACCACTTTCTTGGCGAATTTGTGAAATGATGGCACCACCTTTTCCAATAACACTGCCAATTCTTGAAACGGGACAGAGCAAACGGAAAACCGCAGTCCCTGGAGAAACATCCAACGACGAAAAACCACCGGAAGATTTTTGGCGTTTCCCTTTCCCGTTAGGCTCTACATTCGGCCTCTTAGAAGACGCCATTGGAACTGACACAAGTCCAAAACAATGACAACACTATTCTACATCAGTTTAATGCAATAATACAAGCATGTTTCTACAAATAACAAAGTGTTAATAACATATCCTGTGAAATCATTCAATCCTAGGTGTCAGTGAGGTTATAGAGTTAAAATAAGCAAATAAAAGTCGAAGAAGAACAAGAAAAATTACAGTGTCGATCTACGTACGCCCCACACCTTCCAAAACCCCACGGAAACAAAAGAGCGACGTCGTCGATGATGAACGGCGGAGAACGACGGAAATGTGTCGCCAAAAAATTCTCCCTCTGCCTCTGCACTGTGACCTAAGCAATCAGTGAACTCGTGCAAAGTTAAAAGTGCGAACGGGCTTCTTCTAATCGAAGAGCCCAAAGTCACTAATTGGGCCCCCGCTTTTGGTTGCTAGATTTGGCCCAAGTGGTTTTTGAATTTCATTTGTTTGGTTTTGTGAGGATATAAACAAAGGGTTTATTGGTTTTATCGGAAATCAAGCATCCAATCCGGAGTATTTGTGGAAGATAAGTTTATTTAGACCAATGCTGGTACTTATTTAAAAAGTATATATTTATAATTTTAAATTACATGAAATCTTAATAAATAGGTTTACAATCTATTTAATCTTATCAAATTAACTTACAAAATAATGCTTGAATCTTATTTATACATTTTTATTTAATTTTATCATATGTAAAATATCCGCACGCGTTAAAAGAGTTATTTTCTTTTATGTTTGAATTTATTTATACTGATAATATGTGCCTTATATATATATATATATATATATATAAGGATGACACGTTATATATTCTAAATTTACTATTTATAATATAATTCTTATTACCTGACTTTTTAATACTAACTGATAATTTGAAACTGTCATTGATTTCATTTTCTTTTGTCTTTTTTTTTTTTTGTTTCTTCTCATATTTGTAGTTTACACGTTAATATTAAAATACTTCTTACTTATTTCTAATCTCTTTTCCTTACAATTTAAAAAAATTAAAATTAAATTCGGATCATGATTATAATTGAAATTATCATAAATGAAGAGTGAGGATAAAATAATATAAATATTATATTTTTTACCCTTTGAAATGATATAATAAGAATTGAGTTAAATTTAAAATTTAATCTATGATATTAAAGTGATCTAAAATTTATTTTAACAAAATTTGTTATTTGTTAAATCTATTATTTTATCATTATAAAAAAATATATTGTTTTGAATTTATCATGGTATTCGTTATAGAATCATTATTATTTAATTTGACATTCAAAATATATATCTCATTATAAAAGAAATATAAAGGAAATCTCACTTTCAATTAAAAATAAGAAAATAAAAAAATATAAATAGAAATTTTTCTTATAAGTTAATTTTAAGAGTAGCAATTTTCTTTAATAATAAAAGTGCTCATGTATAGTTTTTCCAAGAAGAGACATTGTTATGCAGGAAATGTGACCTTTCACTCCATAAAGTGGATGAACATACCCAAAAGCATAACAGGTTTCCCCTTTCCTTAAAAAAGAAAACCCAAAAGAGAAGCAAACCACTTTAAGAGTTGCTTAGAAAATTACTATACAACATTAAGGTTTATTGGGTTAAACTCTCAACCATTGTGATTCTCAACAACTTTTTTATGTTATATATTTTTCTGTCACATTAATTCCCACAATTTCTAGCATGTGCTTAACTGTCATTTATGGAATTTCTTTCATATAATTTTACAATATATATACTATCTATAAAAGACATGCAATTAAGTGCGAATGATAATATGTGCAGTTAATAAAAAAAATAACACACTCTTAAAAGGTGAGATTTCAAATCTTGAATGAGACCAGGTAGATATTTATGTGCAACCTTCTCATAGGAAGTGACAACGAATGCATCTGTTTAAGAAGTGACTTATCGAGATACGACAGGGGACATCTTTGAAACCAAAACAAAACATGATTTTGTTTCTTTCTACCTTTAATTGTTTCATTGCATTTGGCATCTCACTTCAACGTTGAAGCGTTCATAAAAGTCCTGTTCTATATATATGGTTAAAATTCATGATTAATAATGTGCCTAAGTTGCAGCTGTTGGATCAGAAATCATCAGTTTTCACAGCTGTTTCATTTCATTATTGTTCCGATTATGGATTGAAATTTTTTATTCATTACTCATTTCTTCACTTGAATAGATTTGAAGAAAGTAATTAAATGAATTTGAGAGGTTTTAAAGATAAATTTTTTATTGTTTATTTGAGTGGATTTAAGAGTGAATGAGAGTGGATTTAGAAATAAAGTTTGTGAGAATTAGTGTAGGATTTGATTGAGATTAAAAAAATTTACTTCGAAATTCACTTTCACTTACTTCCAAATTCACCCAAATAAACAATAAAAAATTTACCTTCAAATTCATTCAATCACTTTCTCCCAAATTCATTCAAGTGAACAAAGTGTAAGTATTTTGAGTTTTGGTGTTTGTTTTTATTATTGTTTGTCCCTTGGATCAAATTGAAAGGATAATTGTAGAAAGTATTTTAACGTCAAAGTCAAATATCTAGTTAATGTATAATAAATGCAATCGTTTTTTTTTAAATTTGTATTTATAAATTTCAGAATGAATTTTGAATTATTGACGGCTTAATTATGATTCAATTGATTTTATTCATGTTTTACCATAGAGTAATCTTCGCCAGTAGTGATGTTAAAGTGGATTAGAATCCGCGGCCAACCCATCCTATCACATATTTGAACCGGGTTGGGTTCAAAAAATATGTAATTTTTTTATACAAGTTAATTTTCAACCTGACCTACTTAGAACCTTGCTCACGTGGGTTCAACCCGTAGTGAGTTATGGCTCATCAACGATCTTAATTTAATTTAATTATTTATTACTTTGTATTTCAATATTATTAGTTAATATTTTTTATTGTATTATAAATGGAGATAAAAAAATATTTCAAAAGAATAAAATATTATAGATTTATTCATTTAATACTCTAATCTTATAAATGAATAAATTACATAAAATGATTAATAATAAAAACTTATCTATTCATTTTTTGAGTTTACTTTTGGATTACATTTGAGTTGTATGTTACTTTTTTTTATTATTTTAAATTGTCTTTTGAGTTTAACATCATTTTAGAGTATTTTTTGGATTTAAAAAAATTATAATTAAGTAAGTCGGTTTGTTTAACCCACCAACTCGAGTTCGAATTTTTTCGCCTCGCTAATAAGTATATCAGGTTAACTTGACTTACTAAGTAATCAACTCATAGTTGACCAAACTGGATCAAATCGAATGTCCCATTTTGACAATATTATCCATTAGATCTAATCATTGTTTAAGAGGGATCACCATTCAATATGTAAGATACAATCATTCGATCTCTTTGATAATCATCGTAATGTTCATAACTTTATCGACCATTTAATCTAAGATTAACTAAACTATCACACGATACAACAGACTTTGTGTTGTGTTTGTAACTTATAAAGTGTAAGTTCGATTTTTTGCATTAACTTATTTGTCGTGTAATTGATTACTGCCTATATCTGTTTGGACTATTATAATTATTTTATGTTGATGTTCAGATATTGTAATGGTATAATTTTAGTTTAAACATTTCGATTATGTTAAATAGTTTCTCTTAAAAGTTTAAACTTCTTCTCATGTATCAAAATTGTAATGTATAGTGATCCAACACATTATTTGTTAACATTACAACATTAAATTTCAAATGATTAATATCAAACTTGAAATATTCTATGCAATTCATGTATATATTGAAATATTCATAGTGCCGTCAAAATGGGTTGAAACCCGTGAGCCAACCCGGTTCACTATGGGTTTGAGTCGGGTTGGGTTGGAAAAAAATGCAAAAATTTTGATGCGAGCCAATTTTGACCCGGCTCACACGGGTTGAACCCGTGGTGGGTTGGGTTGGCTCACCAACCCACCTATTTTTTTAATTAAACTAAATTAATTATTCAAATCCTATTTTTTTATTAAAATCAAATTAATTAAATTAATTATTCAAATGTACAACATTTACTTAGCAATAGTCTTTTGTGTTGCTGTCTTTCCAAAAGGTCCCCTCTACAAATAAAATCCTAAGATTATAGATTAGACAATATTATAGATGGAGATAAATAAGAACATGCTTCAAGAGTGCATAATACTGTGGATTTATTCATTTCAGACTCCAATCTAATAGATGAATAATATTATAGATTGGATAATTCAGGAATATATCATTTGTTTTATCTTGTTTTTAGACCTACCTACAAGCATGACAATTTTATCTTGTGTTATATATTTTTGTTAACAGTTATATATAGTTTCTTGGTCAAACAGTTGTGTATGTCTTATTAAACTAAATTGGCAAAATTTTATGATTTATAGGTTAGAATATATATATATATATATATATATATATATAACAATAGATTTCTTTTGTTTCATTTTCTCTTATATCAATTCGTCCAATTATTATTGTTTCAATTTGATCCATCAAAGTAATATGTTATAAAAATCTGAGAAGAAGAGGGTGAAAAAAAGTTAATTAAGTGAGCCAATGATCCAACCCGTTTAACCCACCAACCCGTGGTGGGTCGGGTCAAACGGGATTACCCGTTTTGATAGCTCTAAATATTCGTATCGAATTTTTTTATAATTTTAAAACAAATAAAAAGTTAAATTTTAAAATTATATTAAATAATAAATTAAAATCTTAATTATTTAATTTTATTGTTTTGTTTTAGATTTTTCTTTTACCCTTCTCTATTTTTTGCACGTAGGGCTTTTGTTATTTAATGCAATCATAATTGATTAGATTAATCTTAGTCAATGGTGTTTCAATTAATATGTTTATTTTGTAAATTACACGTATATGAAACATAACTCATAGATTATGAATCACAAATAAATCATATAATTAATGAGTAATAAACTTTTTTATAATTAAAATAAATTTTAATTTTTCTTAAAAAAAACAAAAGCATTAAATATTGAGAATAATTAATGAATAACGTATATTAGTCTTTAAAAATAAATATTGGAAATAAATATAGATTAATTTTTTCTCTTTAGTCTTAAGAGCATCTTAGATTAGTGCCTCAAAATGGGTTGAAACCCGTGAGCCAATCCGGCTCACCATGGGTTTAAGTCGGGTTGGGTTGAAAAAAAATACAAAAATTTTGATGCGAGCCAATTTTGACCAGGCTCACTAAGAACCCAGCTCACACGGGTTGAACCCGTGGTGGGTCGGGTTGGCTCACCAACCCACCTATTTTTTTTAATTAAATTAAATTAATTATTCAAATCCTA